TTTTACGACGGATACGACGCGCGCGAGAGGAGGGGAGCGTGAGCGTGCTCGCGGATAGAGCGCCGACGTCGCTCCGAGCGCGCTTGGCGGCGCTGGAGCAGGCGCAAGACGGAGTGTTGGAGATCTCCAGACGCACCGCGCGCGAGGTCTCGCGCCTGGGCACTCGCGTTCGCTTGACTCGTAGAGAGCTCTCGCCTCCGCTTCGCAAGGTCCAGGCCGAATCTCTTGAGCACGCCCAGATCCTCGTCGCCGCCGCGGAGAAGATTGAGCAGCTCGAGCGCGAGCTCGGCGAGAGCCAAGACACGATGAGCGGTCTCCACTCCGTGAGCTCCAAGCAGTTCGACGTCCTCTCCAAAGCCATCGCCGAACTCAAGACATCACAGATCGAGCTCAACGCCGCGCTCGCCACCGCGCGCGCCGAGGCTGAGGCCCTTCGCTCCAAGCCGTACGAGCTCGCAGCCGAGCCCGCGCGCGAGCGCGTGGGCGCGCGACTCGCGAAAAACGACGCCTCCATCTCTCGCGCCCTCGCCTTCACCCCCGGCGGCGGTGACGAGGACGAGGACGAGGACAAAACGAACGACACCGACTAGACGGTCGCATCACGATGTAATCGACGATGATTCGCCCGCGCGCGCGTCCTCGACCCTCCGCGCTCCGTCGCCCCTGTCCCCAGCGCGCGTCCGCACGCCCCGCACTTATCAGCGCCCATGATCGCTCGCGTCGAAGTCACCGCCCCGAGAGTCACCCCCCACGCCCCCGCGCGGTGCGTCCGCGACGACGACGACGCCCTCGACACGTTCGACGCGGTCCACCGTCGAGGGCACGCGCGGCGAATGCACGAATGTGTCGACGTCACCACCGCGTCGACGACGATCGCGACGACGGGACGCTTCGAGGCGAGAACACGGACACTGACCGCGCGCGCGTTCGATCGATCGCGACAGGGCGCGGCGAGGGAGGTCGATGCAGACCCGAGCGAAGGGGCCGAACGTGGACCGCACGACGGGGTACATTGACTCGGATAACACGGGCATGGGAAACATCTTCGCCGTGGAACCGCGACAGCTGTACACCGAGTCGCCGACGAGCGATAAGTACGCCAAGACAGGATTGGGCGGCGTCGGTGGCGCGCTGTTGGCGGTCGGGATCCTCGGCGCGGTGGCGGTGGCGACGAAGGGGTTAGCCGGGTTCGAAGAGGCGAATAACGAGTTCGCAAACTACAACGGCCCGAGCGTGAGCTCGCTCGTCGAGCAGTTCGAGCGATAAATTGGCTTGAGTCGTCGATTCAGAGGAGCGCGCGGTGAGCGCGCGAGGTGTGAATTCATGAAATGTTTTTTGTCCAGCGCTCGCGACTGGCGACTCCGTCCTCATTCATCCGCTCGCGCGAAGCGACCCCGTTCACGCGCGTTGACCGCGCACGCGCATGCGCCTCGCGCGCGCGATCACGACCGTTCGATCGACCGTACGCAGCGCGCTCGCGAGACGGCACTCTATCGAGCGTGCACGATCAGGACGCCGCGCGCCGCGCCCGGGCGCGCTCCGGCGCGCAATGTCCGCGTCGTCGTCGTCCCATCCGGGGGCGACGTTCGGTCCGATAGACATTCCGTCGACGCAAATATTTCATGAGACTCCCACGACGTTCGCGCTGGTGAATCTCAAGCCCGTCGTCCCGGGACACGTGTTGGTGTGCCCGCGACGCGTGGCGCGCAAATTCACCGACCTCTCCGACGACGAGATCGGTGATCTCTGGCGAACCGTCGCCGCGGTGCAGCGCGTGATGGAAAGAGTGTACGATACGACGTCGAGCACGTTGGCGATTCAAGACGGCCCACTCGCCGGGCAGAGCGTCCCGCACGTGCACGTGCACGTCTTGCCGCGACGCGAAGGTGACTTTGCGCGAAACGACGACGTCTACGATGAGCTCGAGAAATGGCGCGCCTTAGACGACGATCGCGCGCCTAGGACCGCGGAGGAGATGAAATCCGAGGCCGACGCGCTCAGGGTGATGTTTTGATGTTTGATTAGCCTCGTCTTTGTATTGGCCACTTGGCGCGCGACCGTCCGCGCGCCGCATTGTTCCACGCGTCATCGCTACGTTCACGACTCTTCGCGCGCGCGCACGGCCCCATGTCCGCGTTGTTCGACGCCCTAAAGTCAACCCTGGGGATCGGATACGACGAGAAGAAGACGAAGACCTTGCTCAGGCTGTGCGCGGGACGGTTGAAGCTCATCAAGAACAAACGAACGAGCGCGCGAATGACGCTCGAGCGCGAGGTCGTGGACGTACTGGAGCGTAATAATGGTCGAGCATCGCGCGATACGGCGTCGGTCAGGGCGGAGAGCGTGTGCAGGGAGGAGCGAGCGCTCCGGGCGTACGAGATCTTGGAGTTGGCGCTCGAGACGCTCCTGGCGCGCCTGCACGTGGTGGCGACCTCGAGCGCGGTTCCGGACGAACTGCGAGAGCCGATCGCGACGATTATTTTCGCGAGTAAAAAGGCAAAGGCGGAGCTCCCGGAGTTGGATGGGTTGAAAAAACAGTTGGGACGGCGGTACGGGCGCGAGTACGTCGCCGCGTGCGAAGGTGACTCCACCGCGCGCGCGTGCGGGGCGCACGTGGTCGTCATGGAGTGTCTTAAAGTGCGAACGGTGGATAGTGAAACGGTGGAGAGGAAGTTGGAGGAGATCGCGAGGGATCACGGGGTCGAATTGGAGCCTGCGATGCCGACGGCGATTCCAGTCTCGTCGGTTCCGGCGGTGGCGATGGAAACAAAGGAATCCGTGGAGGCGATGACTTCTTCGTACGAGTACGGCACTGCTCAGGAGGCGGCGCACGCGGCGGAGGCCGCGGCGAAGCGCGCGCAACACGCCTCCGAGGCTGCGGCCGCTTTGGCTGGTTTGGAAGCGACATCGTCGTCCACGCGCGATATGAAGGACGCGAGCGACGCCGACATCGACGCCGTCATCGGTGAGGTCCTGGCGATGTCTGACGAACTTCCCGATCCGAGCGCCTCGGCGCCACCGCCGGGCGTCGGCGGAGCGCCTAACGCTCACACCAAGTTCGACAACCCGAAGTCGTACCCAAAACCAAAGTCATCGAGCCCTTTGGACGATCAAGACGACACCGACGATCTCGCCCAGCGCCTCGCCGCGCTCAAAAAGTCGTAACCATGTTTTGAGCTTTCATTCAAATCGCTTCGATCGCTCGTTCGCCGTCGAAATCGCTCTTCGTTCCAAATTCCAGCCTCATTAGTCCTTAACAGCGGCGTACAGAGTCATCCGCTGCACATCCCATCCCTCACCGATGTCCCTCGGTCGCGCCGCGCGCGCCGCCACCGGCACCGCCGTGGCCATCACCGCCACCGCGCTCGCCGTCAGAGGTTTTGCCCTTTCGAGCGACGACGAGCTTCCGAGAGACCCCTGGAGCGAGCAAGGTAGGCCTTTGCCCACGCGCGCAGAGACGATCGCGTCGTTAAAGCGCGCGCGAACGACGCCCCACGACGTGCTGATCATCGGTGGTGGTGCGACGGGCTCGGGGTGCGCTCTGGACGCGGCAACGCGGGGGTTGAGCGTGGTGCTCGTCGAGGGCGAGGATTTCGGCGCCGGTACGAGCGGACGGAGCACAAAGCTCGTGCACGGCGGCGTGCGGTATCTCGAGAAGGCAGTGTTTCAGCTCGATCCCGGGCAGTTAAAGTTAGTTTTTGAGGCGCTGCAGGAGCGGCGGCGGCTGCTGGCGAATGCGCCGCACCTGACGCGGGCGCTGCCGATCGCGACGCCGTGCTACGAGTGGTGGGAGGTGCCGTATTACTGGGCGGGGATGAAGGCGTACGATCTCGTCGCTGGATCGCAAGGGCTCACGATGTCGAGCTACGCGAGGGCTTCCACGGTGAGTCGGATGTTTCCGCAGTTGGCGGAGACGCGGTTGGACATCGGACGTCGATCGATGAAGGGGGCAATCGTGTACTATGACGGACAGTTTGACGACGCGAGAATGAATGTCGCCTTGGCCTGCACGGCGGCGCACGCGGGCGCCGCCGTGGTGAATCACACCAAAGTGATCAAGTTTTATAAGGATGGCGATAAAATTGTGGGTGTGCGCGCGCGCGATATGTTAACCGGGAGCGAGTACGATGTGTACGCCAAGGTTGTCATCAACGCGAGCGGACCCTTCACAGACGAGATCAGAAAATTGTCCGATAACGAGGCTCAGAAGATCATGACGCCCGCTGCCGGGACTCACTTGACGCTTCCGGCGTACTATTGTCCGAGTGATTTGGGTATGATCATTCCCAAGACGAAGGATGGTCGAGTCGTTTTTGTCCTCCCTTGGCTCGGCGCGTGCGTCGCGGGTACAACAGACACGTTGTCCGAGGTTACGATGACGCCATCGGCGACAAAGGACGAAATCGATTTCATTTTAGAATCGATCGCACCGTTTCTCAAGGTTGAAGCGAGACGTGCGGATATCCTGAGTGCGTGGAGTGGGATTCGCCCTCTTGCAGCGGATCCAGGAGCAAAGAACACCGAAAACATGTCTAGAGATCACGTGATTGCGGTCGAAAAGGACGGAATGGTCACCGTTACAGGTGGTAAGTGGACAACTTATAGACGAATGGCCGAAGAAGCGGTCGATAAGGCCGTTGAAATCGCTGGTCTGGCGGGAGAAGCCGGAAAGTGTCGCACGTTGTCCATGGGTGTTGTCGGAGCACATGGATACACGAATGATCTATTCGTTCGCGTTGCCCAACGAGGCGGGAGTGGCTTCGGTGGTCCCCCCGATGAAGCGGTTGCAAAGCATCTCGCGACGTCATACGGCGATAGAGCGCTTGTCGTGGCGGACCTGGCGGCTTACTCTCATCTGTCAAAACGTCTCGTACCAAACCATCCCATTATTGAAGCGGAAGTCGTGTATGCCGCTCGAGCTGAGTACTGTCAAACTGCTGTTGACTTCCTCTCTCGACGTACGCGTCTCGCATTTTTAGACGTTGAAGCGGCTGAGAAGTCTTTACCTCGCGTGGTTTCTCTTCTAGGCACTGAGCTCAACTGGTCGTACATGAGGCGTCGTCGGGAACTCGCAAACGCAAAGGCTTTCCTGTCGACCTTCAGGGCGGCAACCTAGTATTATCAATTCACAATGAATAAATTACAAAGACCCAGATTAGGATCTACGACGCAAACGCCTCCTGCGTGAGCTGCTTCGCCTGCCTCTTCAACGACGAATCGTGACCGCTCATGATCAAATCGTACAACTTTGTCGCGAGGTCGGCATACTGATCAATCTCTAGCTGTAGGAGATCGATGGTCGCATTCTGAGTGCTCTCCACTGACGCCATCGGTTGAGGCGTAAGTGAGATCGCAGAGAGAAGCTCGATGCCATCCTTAGCATCTTGGCTGCCGCTCTCCAGGCCAGCATGGAACGCGTCCAACGCTTCCTCCAAGTCACCGTTGACGATTTCAGCGTAGCCCAGAGATGCGAAAGCACTCATTACGCCACCCCTCACCGCCATTTCATAGTACCTTTTCGCCTCCCGGAAATCCTGAGCCACACCAATGCCCTCCTCGTAGCACACAGCGAGATTATTCATCGCCGCCGGGTTCCCTTTCTCCGCTGCGACCTTGAAATACTTCGGTGCAAGCTCTCTGTCCGCGCCGATCCCCAACTCGAGGTATTCCAAGGACCCAAGGTTATTGTTGCACACCGCACAGCCTTCTTTCACGCCTTCTTTGTACCATCCACGAGCCTGCTCGTAATCGACCTTCACGCCGATTCCTAGCTCATACAACCTTCCGATACTTGAATATGCCGGCATGTATCGATCCTTCGCCGCGAGGACGTAGCACTTCAGCGCCTCCTTCGCCTGTTCTTCGCTCATTTCAATGTCGTGCGCGTGATCGCGCGAGCTCGCCTCCAGCATCTTCCCCTGCAGGTACAAGCGATGCGCCTCGCTCGCCGGGCCAAGCGGCACTGCCGGCAAGACAACCTCCTTCCTCTTCTCCAGTTGCGACTCCTCCTGATACTCCACCGCAACGACCGCCGTATCGGTGATCAGCGTCTCCATCTCCCGATCGCGGCCGTTGTACCGCACGACGCGCAGAAAGCATCCGACGTCGACGTCTTGGCACACGTACCGCGTCCCGCGCGCGTTCTCCACGAGCTCCACTCCCCCCAGCGGGGTCACCCGCTGCCACCTCAGCGTTGTCTCCGCCCCCAATCGGTCCCAAACGATCACTTCGAGGCACTCTCCGCTTCGTGCCGTCCCGGTCAATCGCATCGTGCTCTTCTCGTCCTTTGCGTTGTCCTCGTCGGCTCGGTCGCTCGCCCGCTCGCTCCATCGCTCGCTCTCCTCTTCCTCCTCCTCCGCGCACTCGCTCGCCGGAACATACCCATCGTCCTCCACGATCGCTTGGTCCTCCAAGTACCGCGTCGTGAGCGTGCGCTTGTAGTCATCGCGACTACGCCAATCGTCACCGTCGACCGCACGCGAAGCGTCGCCTTGCGGGACGATCGTCCTCGGCGTGTGCGATCGAGACAGCTTGGAGGGGTCCATCGATGGAACGTTGGAGGTCGATGCCGTGGGTTGGGATCGGCGACGATCGGCGAGCATCGACGAGGCGCGCGAGCGCGTGTGGGGAGAAAAAGTGGTGAATATTCTGCGACGAGGCGACGGCTCGGGCAACGAACGCGCGCGCGAAGTCGCGGATGAGGCTCGGGCGCTCGTGGGCGGTACGTTTCGATACACGACGTCCGATGGATGTCGAGTGCGACGATGGAGCGAAACAACGCGGTTTTTCGAGCGGTGCCACTCGATTACACTTTTATCGTCCCACTAACTGGGCAAAGGTCACCAAACACAATCTCTCCCCCTCCTCATCAGAAGTTCCCAAACAACGACGACTTAGATCATCTTGCGCAAGAGCGCGTTGATCTTGTCCTCACGGTTACCAGCCATGCCCCCTTCGATGAAGTGCTTGTTCTTCACCGTCATGCCGCCGTTCGGGGCGGAGAGCTTGAATGGCCACAAGAAGTTGGCGCACTCCTTGAAGTGCGGGCCGCAGGTGTAGATCTCGTGAATCAAGTCTTCAATGCAAATGATGCCCTTGTCACCAAGCACCTTCTCGATCACGGCGTTGTCCGTGAGCGGGATGCGTTGCTTGTTGACCTTGCCGTAACCACGCTTGTAGATGAGCTCGCGGACCGACTTCAAGTTCGGGTAGCCAAACATGATGTACGGTTCAACCTTGCGGAGCTGGTTGAGCGTCGCCTTGTTTACCTTCATGAAGATACCGTTGTGGATTTGACGCAACCGGAGAAGCTGAAGAATCTTCTTCGTCTTCGGGTGGATGTCGTTCAAACCGCGCAGGCGCATGACAAACATGAGCTTGGCCTCCGGCTCGACGTAGAAGCCACCCTTCGCGCGCGCTTCACGCTTGAGGCGCACGAGATCAGTTTCCTGTAACGAAAGAACATTGATGTCAGTCATCGAACAGCTCGTAACACACCCAAAAGGTCGAGCTCGTCGTTCACGAGAGCCGTCCGCGCGCGTCGTCGTCTTCGGCTTCCAACAGACCCTAAACCACTCCGGGCTTCCTTCTCCTTCGCGTCACCGCCTCCGCGCTCGCATCTCACGCGCACCTGATCGCGGTACTCCTTGACGTATTTCTCCGCGCGCTTGAAGATTTCATCGCGCTTCGCTTCCTGCGCCTTCTTCGCCTCCGCGGCGGCGGCGGCCTTTTGCGCGGCCCACTGGGTGTCGCGCTTGCGCTTCTTGAGAATGGATTCCGGGATCGGCTGCGTCGTCGACGATGGTTCACGCACGTCAGTCACTGAACGCACAAACGGTCAAACATAATCTTCGCTCACGCGTCGCTTTCACGCATCCCCACACGCCCTCGCGTTCGCGTCACCGTCGCCGTCGCCGTCGCGCGCGCGTCCGAGCGCTAGGGTCACGCGTGCGCGACGTCGCGACGACGACGGCGACCGGTGACGACGCGCCCGCGCCCGCGCCCGCGCGCGCGGCGCGAACACACGCGCGACGATCGACGTTTGCATTCGTGACGCACCATCGCTGCGCCTCCGCGTCTACCAAAGAGGACGACCGGACGACGCGCGATCGACCTCGTGCGCGCGCGGCGCCGAGCGCGCGCGCGCGTGCCGAACGTCCGATCGATTTTATCGAGTCGCGTTTTTTCATGAGTCAAGACCCATCGAGATGATCTCTCGACGCCCCCATCCACGGTGTCCCCTACTGCGGTCGCTCTTGAGACGATGATGAAACCCTCGGGATGCCGACGGTGGTTGTCGTCGCCACACTTAGGCGAAAGTCCTCTGCAGTACGTCACGCGCGCGCGAGGGGACGGAAGCGCGAGCGAATCGTGACAATCGTCTCCCGCGTCCGAGGGAAACGCGCCCGCACTCGCGTGCGCCTCGTCGATCTCGACGCGTCGAGCGGTCGATCGAGAGCACACAGAGTCATCCTTCTTCCGCGCGCGTGATCCGAGCGAGATGTCCGTCGGGGCGAGCGTGAAGAAACTGGAACAGAACGCGTACGCCGCGATCTTAAAGGCGATGGCGGTGACGGGCCTGACGTGGGAGCGCGAAGAGTTCCTCGGTCGATTGAGGCTCGAGCTGAACGTGAGCTCGGAGGATCACATGCGGCTGCGCGAGCAGATGGACTCGGACGAGAACGTGTCGAGGTTAAGGCACGGGTACGCCGAGCACAGGGACACGCAGGAGGCAAAGCGACAGCGTGTGGACGCGGCGGCCGCGTACGGGTCGGTCGCATCGAGGGCAGCGCCGAGGCGTAAGCCGCAGCACTCGAGCGTGCGAGCACCAAAGATGACTCCGGCGCAGTTGGTGGCGATCGGGGTGAACGAGTACATCTGCAAGAAGTGCAAGAGGTTCTGGCCGAGCGAAGGGGGCTGGTTCGATTGCGTCATCACGGATTACAACCCGGAGACGAAGCAGCACTGTCTGACGTACGACATCAACACCCCTAACGAGTCTTACGAGTGGGCGGACATTTCTACGTTCACGAAGACAGAGTTTAAGATTGAAGAGGGGAGGGTGGACATCAACGAACTTCAGGCGTTCACGCAGGGACCAGCGCCGTCGCCTGGTGCGCCCGTGGATAACTTCGTCGCGGCGGCGTCCAAGGCGAAGGATCCGCAAAAGTTTGAGGCCGTGAAGAGCACGCTGACGGCGGAGGAAGAGGCTCTCCGCCAGCAGCTCGCGGCTTTGGAAGACAGCGACGACGAAGACTGATAGTTGCCGTGAAATAAAAATTCTAGAAATTGAACTGATACCATTTGGCGAGTCTCTCCACGGGTACGCCCAAGTGGTAGCCCATGAGAATGACCTGATTCAATAGCGTGACCTTGGCTAAGCCTCGCTCGTCCCATCTTCGACCGCTCGTCACCACGGGGTCTTGAAACAACCTCGGCGCGCTCCGCCGACGAAGCTTTTGCACCATGACGTAATCCTCCATGAAGGGCAATTCCTCGAATCCACCAACGTCATCGAACGCTCTGCGACGAATCACCAATCCTTGATCGCCGTAGGGCGTTCCAAACAGCTTACACCGACAGTTCGTCCCGAACTCTATCGCTCGGCGGATCATGCCTCCAGCCCAGCTGTCACCGTCCGCCGCTTCGGTCATCTTGAACGCAAACGCTCCCCAATCGCGCCTCGACCGACCTCCGCACATCTCTCTCTCGATCGTCTCCCCGTACCCGCTCGGCAGTGAGCTATCGGCGTGCAGGAACACCAGCAAGCTGTCTCCGTCGTCTCGCGCGCCCGCCGCCGCCGCCCCGACATTCATCTGCCGCCCCCTTCCCCTGAGCGACGTCAACACGCGCGCCCCCGCGCGTCGCGCCGCGCCCTTAGTGCCATCCGCCGAGCCCCCGTCGACGACCACGACGTCTGCGTCCGCGTGCGCGCGCGCGGAGGCGACCGCTCGACCGATCCGCTCGGCCTCGTTCAGGGCCGGGATGACGACGGTGATCCTGCACGACGACGACGACGGCGACGACGATGACGCGCTCGTCGAGGCCGAGGCGGGGTCCGGCCTCGTCGCGCGCATGCTCGACGACGACGACGCGACGGTGCGACGACGAGTGGCGAGAAGTCAACGGATTGACGGTTCGTGTCCCGAGCGAGAAGTGCGCGGCGTCACAGGGCGGCGACGGCGACGCGGGAAGGCGCCTCGAGCGATGAGTGCGATCGTGGGAATTATCGCGTGCGCGCTCGCCCTCGCGGACGGCGCGCGAGCGGCGACGGCGACGCGGGCGTACGTCGTGGATGGGAGCTCGTGCGAGCGCGTGGAGACGATGCGAGACGAGGCTTCGATGGTCGACGGGCGGGCGACGCGATGGATTCGACGGGCGAGGACGAGATGGGAGGGTTTATGCGATGAAGGCGCGGCGGCGCTGACGATTGAGGCGGGAGAGGTGGGGTTGGAGGAGGTGAGTGTGGAGGACGCTCGGGCGCTCGGGCGGACACTCGGCGGAGCGTCGACCATCGAGGTTTGGTTCGCGTATCGAGGAACAGAGCGGCGAGGAGAGATGATGCCATTATTCACGATCGAAGACATCTCACGGAAGACGATAAAGGGGATGGTATCGATGGATGGAAGCGGGTTAGCAATGCTAGCCACGGAGTCGAGGGAGGCATTCTCATTAGGCAAACAAAACGACAATACGACGTGCATACACGTCGTTTCCGACAAAGAAGTGGCAAAGGTGTACGTAAACGCTCGTCTGGCGCTTGAGTCGACACGAGGTAGTCCGTGGAGGACACTGAATGAGGATGATGGCGCGATGGTTCGGCTTGGAGGCTCTGTCAGCTCTGCCGGTCTCAGTGATGCTTGGTGGTCCGGAAACTTCTATCGATTCGCCGTGTATCCTTTTGCAATGGATGCTGATGGTGTCAACAAAAATTATGCAAATCACTCAGTGAGTGATCCAGTCGAGCACAATGTCGAAGTCGATGACATTGACGTGACGGGTGCAAGCGTCGCTGTGTTTGGTGTTTCAACAAAAATGCAATTTGATGTCGATAATCTCGACAAGATGTGCGATGATGATGAGCAGGCGTGTGATTTGACCGTAGAATCTGAGTTGATTGTGCGAAAACTACCGCTCTATGGCGATTTACATGCATCCGAGACGCTTCATGCCATACAGGTGAACGAGCGAATCGGAGCCAGCAAGATGCGCTACACCGCCAAGAGCGCCCCAACGAGCATCGACGGATACTCTGACGTATTCAGTGATAGTATCCAATTTCAAATCTCTGATGACGACGTTGCGCAAAGGTTTCGTTTCGCAGTTGAGGTACATAAGGGTGTGCTTGCATGCGACATCGAGCTCGTCACTGTCGAGGACAGTGTGGTTACCGTGACTCTCCAAGTCATCGACACAGAGAGGGTTTCAGCGGACTTCGGCTTTGAAATAATGGCTGTCCATGAGAGAATAGCCCTTTTCTTTGAGAATGGAACGACCATCCCGGTCGGTGAGCGCATGAAAGGGTATCCATGCGGCGCGCAGCCTTCATGCAGACGTTTCACACTCGATGAACACACGCAAAGAGCGTGTTTGAAGGTTGTGCTAATCCCTCATCGCGATTATTTCAACACGGACAGTGCGTTCGACGGTCCACAACACCCGCCATGGCCCATGGGGAAGGCTGTCGTCACGTACATTGGAACGAGTGGTGAACAACCGTCGAAACAAGCGAGAATAAATGTCACTGTCACGGGCGAGTATGACGACGTTCAGCTGAGCGTAAATCAGACTTTATTCAACGCTCATTATCTAAGATGGGTCGGCATGGGAAGATTCCGCCTTCGATCTAGAGATTACGACGCTCGCAAATTGAGAGTATCCATTCACTCGGCGCGTGCAAACTTGTTTGCCATCACAAATGTGACCGCGTTGGAGCTCTGCGATAACCCATTCATCACCGGTGACGGGACTGGAAACGAAATGATTGTCTTCGACGCCTCTCCGAGCGTAATCTCATCCGCCCTCGACAGCGTGGTGTACATCAACCTCAAAAGAGGCTTGACTCAAGACGAAATCAATGTACGCGTCGGCGAGAGTAGTGTCACCCTAGTCGCCCTCCTGATGGCCAGCTGAGCGCAAGCATCGCGTCATTTCGAATTTTTGCAGTCGTTCACCGCTACAAATCGATCCCGAACGACCCCGTCGTCGTCCTCGTCTCCCTCACGCTCGCGCCAACCATCCTCACAGTCGGGCCCACGGCTGTCATGCCGCCCAAGCCTCCTCGTAACGAGCGCTCACTCGTGTGTTTCGTCCAGGCCTTGGTCGGTACTACGGTGGTGATCGAATGTCGAGACGATGTTGCGATTCGCGGTCGTCTGGAGCACTGCGACGACGACATGCACTGCACGCTGGTGGACGCCATCCGGGTAACGCCCGAGGGTGAGAAGACCAAACTCGAGCGTGTTTTCGTCCGAGCGCGGATGATTCGATACGTTCACTTCGCGCCGAGCATCGATCCATCGGCGCTGATCGAGGAGAAGCGGTTGGAGCGATTTGAAGGGGCGAGGCACTATGCGAAGAAGGCGGCGTTCGGACCGAGGAACGCGCCGAAGGTGGAAGGGAAAGCGCGATAGGCGATAGGGCACAGTAGCGAAATAGAACGAATAGCGAGCTTGTATGATACAAATGAATTGAATTGATCGGCGCCGCTACGCGGTCTTGGCCCCCAGCTCTTGTGCTTCAGCCAGGACTGCTTCCAGGCGCTCCCACTCGGCGTAATAAAGCTCTTGCTTAGCCACTTTTGCGTCTTTTTCCTTTTGAATTTCTAGAGCCTTGGCGACGTTTGAACCTGCTAGGAGAAGTTGCTCGTCGAAGGCGGTGATGTCTCGATCCAAAACCTCTAAGGCTTTTTCAATCTTGGCTATTATGCCCGGAGCGTTGTGCGCCTCTCGCAAGAGCTCACGTTGACGCTTCTCCTCTTCCTTGGCGGCTTCTTTTTCTTCTTCACTAGAAAATGCTGCTGCTTTCTTCACGCCACTTTCTTTCTCGCTGGCGGCTTGCTCTTGCTCTTTGACGTATTCGCGAAGCTCTGTGTACGAGCCGGACCAGTCACTGATGCCTCCCTTGCCGTCGAACACGAAGATGTGATCTGCCAAGTTATTCACAAACTGCCGGTCGTGACTGACGATCAGGACGCAGCCATCGAAATCAACCAACATGTCTTCCAGCGCCTCGATGGTATCCAAATCCAAGTCGTTCGTCGGCTCATCGAGGATTAAGAAGTTCGGGCATAGCGCCAAGACAGTGAGCAACTGGAGCCGTCGTTGTTCTCCGCCGCTCAGAGAACTAATTTGGACCGCCTGTCTACCATCAGTGAAGTTGAATCGTTCCAGTAGGGTATAGACGCTCAACTTTTGGCCAGCGAAACCACCAATCAGATCCTTGGCTTCGCCTTCGACCTCCTTGACGTAGTCAATGACCCGTTGCGACGGATCTCTGAATGTCGCCATTTGACTGTAGTAGCCGAACGAAACCGTCTCACCGACAGAGACCCAGCCCGAATCAAGCGCTATCTCTCCCAGCATGGTTTTGATGAGTGTCGTCTTGCCCGCACCGTTCGGTCCAACCAACCCAATTTTTTCACCCTTGTTAAATGCATATGTGAATCCATCCAGTATATTCTTTTCGCCGAATTTCAGGTGTGCGTCATCGAATTCAACGATAATAGCACCCATTCGGGACGAAGAAACTTCGCCGAGCTCAATCGCTTTCGTTTTCGTTCCTCTGTAGTTTACGCGGGACGTCAAATCAGAGAAACGCTCAATGCGAGCCCTCTGTTTGGTCGATCGAGCTTGCGGTTGTCTACGCATCCACTCTTGCTCCTTCTTGAACAAGTTCTTAGCCGCTTGCAATTGTTGCGCCTCCGTAGACCATCTCACTGCACGTTGCTCCAGGAATGTTGAGTAACCGCCCTTGTGTCTATACGAGCCCCCTCGTCCATCAAGCTCCAAAATATCTTGACAGACGTTGTCAATGAACATTCTATCGTGACTCACCAAGAGCACGGTGAGCTTGGGATTCTGAAGTTGTTCTTCCAAGTATTCAACGCCTTCGACTGACAAATGATTTGTCGGTTCGTCAAGAATGAGCAGATCTGGTGTCTCCACGAGCGCCGCCGCCAGGGCGACGCGTTTTCGCTGACCGCCAGAAAGTTCGCCCATCTTATTCTCCAAGAACGCGTCACAGCCGAGCTTCTTGAGTGCCATTTGTGTCTTCTCTTCCAAATCCCACGCGCTCAGGGCGTCCATATCCGCGATCGCGGATGACATCGCCGGCTCGTCCAGCTCTCCACGTGCCGCCGCCGCGACAACGGCGTCATACCGCCGCAACGCCCGCATCACCGGCGTATCACTCGTGTACACCGCGTCCAAAACTGTGAGTTCGGGGTCAAATGCTGGCTCTTGATCCACGAAGCACACCCGCAGACCCTTCCGTCGCCACACCTCGCCGTCCTCGAGCCCCACAGCGCGTCCGCCCAAAACCTGAAGCAGCGTCGACTTCCCGCTCCCGTTCGGTCCCACGATGGCCATCTTCTGTCCCTCCGACAGCCCCACGTCGACGTTTAAGAATTGATATCGCTCCCCATCGTACGTCTGCCGCAAATTCTGCGCGCTGAGCACGCTCTCTCGATCCTTCGCATCGAAGTTTGCTTTTCGCCCATCCTTGTACACCTCCCCACCGCGCTTTCCCGCGTTCGTGCGCGCGTCGCGATCGACGCGACGCACGCGAGCGCGCGCACCAGACGGCGTTGATGTCGAACACGCGCGCGCGTGCGACATCGCGGAACGAATCGCGTCGGCACGCACGTGCGCGAGTGAGTGACGTGGCTGTCCCGGTCGTCACTCATTCGCGCTCGGCGACGGGCGAGGCTCGGTGAAGAGACGTCGAGATGGCGACCGCGCGCGCGTGGTCGAACGCACACGCGAGCGCGTCGCGTTCAACTGCGCGCGCGCGGGTCGAGCGGCGACGGGGATGCGTCGTAATCCGCGCGAGCGGTGGGGACGAAAAGGAGGGCGTCTCGTACGACGTCCCGTACGACGTCGTGAACGGCGGGAGCGAGGATGGATACGAACTGCGGGTATATGGGGCGTATTACGTCGCGGCGACGCCGTACGAGAACCGCGAGGAAGGGCTGGCGACGCTGATGGAGTACATGGAGGGCGGAAATGCAGAGCGGGCGATGTATCCGCCCACGCAGCCGCTCACGACGAGGTACTTCGAGGGAGGGAAGACGATGGAGCTCGCGCTTCTGGGACGACGGGCAAAAGAGAGCATCGCGGCGCCGAACGAAGAGAGCGAGGTGAGGGTCATCGCGAGCGGGGCGGAGCTCGTTGCGGCGGTCGGCTTTGAGGGGAACGCCACGCCCGAGGTGGCAGAGTTTTATCGATCCAAGCTCGTTGCCGCGCTCAAGGCGAACGGAATGGCGTGTTCGAACGAGCAGGAATTTAGAATCAACACGTTTGGGCCGTTGTACAGCTTAAAGACGCGACAAAACGAACTTTTGGTCAAGGTTGAGGTTTAGTCTAGCCGACGGAGAGCGAAACGCCTCTCGTCGCTCTCCCGCGAACGAATCACGCGCCAGAGATTTCGGCGCACGATCACGGGATTTAATGATATTATCACCGGTACCGGTAACATATTAATAAAAATATGAAGACAATTAGGAAAATTACAACGCAGCGCAACCGCTACTCGGTGTTTGATTCTGCTTCGCGCTCCGAGCCCAGATTTGTATTGGTCTGCGTCTGCGCAGACTTTGAGGAGGCGTCCGCCCCCTGTTCCTCCCTCGATCTCTTCCGTTCGAGTCGAATCCGTGCCTTCTTCATCGCTATTTCCGCACGCATCTCCGGCGTCCTCTCGTCCCGACGCCGCTGCGAGCGCAATCGCTCCCGCTCCCTCGCCTCGGCGCTCTGCGTCGCCCGCCGCGCGCGACTGCGCAGCATCTCCTTTCGACGCCGCGCCTCAATCGTCGCCGGATCCACCGTCTTCACCGATCTCGACCTTTTCGTCGCGCCGTCCCGCGTCGACGTCGCGCGTCCATCCACCCCCGCGCCTCCCGACGCCCTCGACACCGCCAATTCGCGCACGGCGTAACAGGCACCACTCGCGTGCACCGCGATGTCCGCCCCCCCCCCCGCGCCCGCGCCCACGGCCGCGCCCACGGCTGTCGATGGAGTCATCTTCCCACGCACCATCCCCCCGGCGCGTCGACCCCGCGTCGTCGTCCCGCGCGCGCGGTCGACGGTGCCGACGCGCCGGGGCGTCGCCCGGAGACGGTCGCGTCGCGCCCTTTCGGGACCGTGGTGAGACCACATGTGCGTGCGATGTGGACCGTGGTGAGACCGCGTGTGCGTGCGATGTGGACCGTCGTGAGACCACATGTGCGTGCGATGTGGACCGTGGTGAGACCACATGTGCGTGCGATGTGGACCGTCGTGAGACCACATGTGCGTGCGATGTGGACCGTCGTGAACGACGCCGCCGCGACGGCCGCGCGCGGACGCAGCGCGCGATGTTGTGCGCGATCAGCGGCGCGGCGCCGGTGCGCGCGGTGGTGACGCGACGTGGGATCGTGTACGAACGATCGTTGATCGAGAAGGTGATCGAGGTGCGGATCGAGACGCGCGAACGCGATCGGGGGGGGGCGGGCGCGCGATCGCGGGGACGGACGGCGGACTGACGAGAGAGGACGCGCGTGACGACGCAGGAGCGTGGGGAGTGCCCGGTGACGAAGGAACCGCTGCGCGTGGATGATTTGATCGAGATTAAGCCGCAGGCATGGGTGAACCCGAGACCGGAGGCGATGATGTCGGTGCCGGGGATGTTGCGGGCGTTTCACGACGAGTGGGACGCGCTCATGCTGGAGACGCACTCGTTGAGAAAGGAGCTGCAGATGACGAGGCAGGAGCTGTCGCACGCGTTGTATCAACATGATGCGGCGTGCCGAGTGATTGCGCGATTGATGAAGGAGAGGGATGAGGCGCGAGACGCGCTGGCGAATGCGAAGGGATCGGCCAAGCGGAGCGCGGAGGACGACGCCGAGCCGGCGCCGAAAAAGGTGAAATCTGGAGTCCCGGCGGATATTATGGAGAAGATGGACGCGTGTTTGAAGGAGCTCTCTAGCGCGCGCAAGAAGCGCGAAATTTCGAGTACGTTGGCCGCATCGGGAGACTTTGACGGCTACACCGCCACGGTGACCTCAGCCGTGCACAAGACGACGAGCGGCGGCATCAACGCGGTGGCTATAAAGAAGGGTGACGATTACATCATTGCTTCTGCGAGCAACGATCACACGGTGTCTGTTTTCGACAAGTCAAGCTCTCAGCGAGTGCAACAACTCGTCGGACACTCGAAGAAGGTGCTCGACGTCAAGTTCGTCGGCGACAACGTGCTGTCCTGCGGCGCAGACAAGCTTGTCAAGCTTTGGGGAGCCGATGGTTCCGAGCTCGCGACGTTTCGCGATCACACGGATGATGTTACGAGCGTTAGTGTACACCCTTCGAACAGTTACTTCGTCTCCACGTCCACGGACAAGACCTGGGGGTTCCATGACATTGGCTCGGGGTCATGCGTCACCTTGGTGAACGACGACTCGGACTCTGCCATCGCGTGCGGAAGCTTCCATCCGGACGGCGTAATTTTAGGAACATGTACGAAAGATGCAGCAGTGAAGCTCTGGGACGCGAAGGAAGGCCGCAAACTTCTGCAATTGGACGGTCACACAAGCCCGGTCGAAGGATTGTCGTTCTCGGAAAATGGCTATTATCTCGCCACTGCAGCAAAGGATGGGGTGAAGGTTTGGGATCTTCGAAAGTCTAAGATCGTGCATGAGATCCAGGGTGCGGCACACGGCGTCGCTTTCGATCACAGCGGCTCGTATATCGCAAAGGCTGGATCCAACGCGGAAGTTTACCAAGTCAAGGGCAAGTGGGAGAAGCTCGCCGAGTTGAAGGTTGCCAAGACCGTCAAAGCCGTCGCCTTCGGCGAAGACGCGCGTTCCATCGTCGTCGGTAGCGCCGATCATAACTTGCGCGTCTTCGCGTAGGTTCATACCGATCGATAGTTGAAATAACTATTCGCGAAATCACACTTTAAGTTGTGCGCTCGTGTCAAATCATCATCAGTGCTACTCTTTTACAATCGCCTCGTTTGCGTCGGTGCAACGCGCTAGCTCGTTCGAGGCACTATGAAGCTCACAAAAATATCTTCCGTGACCTCAATTTGGCTTTTTCCCGCCCTCTTCGCCTCTCTGCCCGTCGTACCCGCCCTCGAACCACGTCTTTAGGCTGAAATCCTCTGGAGCCTCGGGGAGGTCATAATATCTCGCTGCGCCATACGCCACGGCCGCGGTGGTGCACATCACGATGGTGAACTTATCGTACGACTTCATGAAGCGTTTCGCCGCCTCGGAGCGCGCCATCTCGGAGGAGACGCGAAATGAGGAGTTGTGTGGGCACGGCGCAGTGAGACACGACTCAGGCGAAGAAGACTAATGGGCGTTTCAAACTACATGATGCTAAAAATCCGATCTACGCGCTTTTTTCCAAGACGGCGACGGGTCACTGACATTCTCAGAGAGAGGGTGCTGAGACATTCGCTGCGCGAGAGGTTGCTGCGACAAGCGCTGAGACATGCGTCGTTCGCTGAAAGTGAACTCTTCGTCTTCAATTTCGTCTTCTTGACGGTTATCCTCTTCAACGTACGGATTCGGGATACCCTGTTTGAAGCACTCGACGGCTTGTTTGATGATCGGGACGACCTCGTTGACTCGTTTCTTAAAGATGGTTCTCTCGTTAGACTTATCGATTTTGTTGTTTTCAGGTTCGAGGAGCGCTTTCGCCTCTTCAATCGTGACAGGCCTTTCCACCTCGAGCACCCGCATAAGACCGGGAGGAAACGCGGTGTCGAGATTAACCTCTCTACCGTCCTTAGCTTGACGCGCGGCGGCCATACGTTTACGCCACGAGTCCAAAGCTGTGTAAACAGCTTCGCGCAACTGATTGTCTTCTCGTTGCTTCGCAACCTTGTCTGGACCAATAGCATCGAAAATGAAATCGTCAATCGCCTCAGGCTGGGTATCCGGCTGCGTGCCGAGTGTGACAGTCACAGCAGCACTGATAACGGGCGCCTTCTTTGCGCCAGTTCGTCTCTTGCTGAAAGCTATCTTGAACTGTTCTCGACCCTGCTGAATGGCTTCACACCGTGGCCTGTTGTAATGAATCGTCGTTACGGTCGTCGCGAACGGGCCTGCGCCTTCGCTGCGAACCGTATTCTCTCTAAGATACCCACGCAACACCATGGCACGGGCGATGCGCTCCGCTTCGGATTTATCCAAACCTTTTCCGGCGCCGTAACCAGGCAACCGGTTGTACTGTTTCTGCGTCACTGTTTTTGCCGCAGAACCTCTCAACACGTCTACGAGCAGACCGATACCGATACCTTCTGGTACGGACCTAACGATATTCATAATTCCTATAACGAAATTCGTGACGTCGGTCTCTTCAAACTTCACCCCGGCATTGATCGCTGCACATGAGTCGCACATCCCACGACAACGAGACCGTTCAAAGCGCTCATCAAAATGAGCCATCAACTGTGTTCGCCGACAATCCGCCATATTTTCGCAATAGGACACCATCGTATTGAGTGAATCGAGGTTGTTTTGGAGCACCGCCGGCTGAGCACGCTCTTTCCGAGCGCTGTCCATCAGCATACTTCTAGCTTTCGAAGCATCGCCCCAGGAGTAGAAGAGAATACATAGTCCGTGTTCACCGTCACGACCGGCCCGACCACTCTCCTGATGATACGCCTCGAGAGACTTGGGCATACTGTGATGAAACACGAACCTGACGTTTGGTTTGTTAATACCCATTCCGAACGCCACCGTGGCACAAATAATGTTTACTTCATCTCTTTGCCACATTTCTTGGTGCTTCTTCCGAGTCGCTTCTGGCAACCCAGCGTGATAAGGTACAGCCTTGAGCCTTTTCGGGAACCGTGTGTGATCGCCCGCTGATCTATCTACCTTGTTGAGCTCACTGGCGATTTTTTCGCAGTCAGCTTGACTGAAGCAATAAATGATGCCACACTGAACGCGCTTGTTTCGCATAAGGCCACGCTTCACGATGACATCTTTAATCTCGCTAATCATTTGCTTTCCCTTGAGTTTCGGGTGAACTTCGTATGTCAGATTCGTTCGGTTGAATGTATCAAAGAATCGCAGACACTTGGGGAGATTCAATTGACGAACAATGTCATCCTGAACTCTTCGTGTTGCTGTTGCCGTGAGGCACATGATCGGCGTCGTCGGAAACAAATGCTTCAACCCCCTCAATTCAGTGTAATCTTTTCTGAAATCGTGCCCCCATGCACTGATGCAGTGCGCCTCGTCTAAAACAAATCGGTTCAGCATATTTCTTTCGTATAGTCGCTGAAGAGCAGTTTTCAGCTTTCCACTTCGCACCACCTTTTCAGGAGTGACGTACAGAAGCCGAAGCTCTGGCGTCGACGAGCGAAGATCATCGTAAATACTGTTATCACTCTCTTTTGCAGCGGATAAAACTGTTGCTGGAATCCCCATTTCGCTGAGATGATGCAGTTGGTCTTGAATCAGCGAAATCAGCGGTGATATGACAACAGTCACCCCGGGCTTCACGACGGCGGGAAGTTGGTAGCAAAGAGACTTTCCGCCGCCGGTGGGCATCAGTACAAGACAGTCTCTCGCCGCCATGGTGGCGTTCACGGCCAATAACTGCAAGCTACGAAACGACTTTGCGTTGAAGGTATTACGAAGCGTTTGTTGGATTAACTTACTCCACGCAAAGTTGGTGTGATCCCAGTCTTTGGCATCGCCACCCTTCATCTCACAATCCGTTGCCACGATGCTCGAGCTCACGTTTGCCGCCCCGATTCCGTTCATGGGAATGACAACATCCTCCCCGAGCGGTTCATCGTCCCAACCGGCCAAGTCGTTGAAATCATTCACTGGCGGACCCGCCCAATTCGACGTCGATGGAGCCTCATACCGCGGAGGATCCTGGTAACGAGGCGGCTCCTGGTAATGAGTCGGCTCGACAATCCCTGGGCCGCTCATCGGAACGTGATGACCGGGAACAGGTCCGGTGTGTTGACCGATATTTCTGCTGCCATCTCCGCACACTTGGACGATCGTTTCCCCCTCCTTCCGCTGATACATCAATAATTTTCTTTCGCTATTTTTCAGCGCCACGTCGTCGTCCTCCAGCTGGAATACAATACTATCCAAAATCGGTCTCAGCTTTTGCACGTGCGCGCCGCGATGCGGACACGCGTGTAAGGCATTCCCATGCTCACATCGCCAATCCGCCCCGGAGCCGTCCAACGGCGGCGCTTGACACTCCATCGTCGGCGAAACAGCAGGCACATAAGACGGAGTGGGCGCATAAGACGGAGCTCGCGTCGGAGCAACTGTCGTCCGATCCGGCGCCGTCGCACCCCGATCGACACCTCCGGTCGAAGTACCAGCCTTCTGACGAAGCACGACCGCATCGATGTCTAGATCTGCCAGCACGTCGTCGTCGTCGTCGTCGTCGTCGAACGCCGGCTGCGTCGGCTGTCTCGCCCCCGCCGCCGCCGCCCTACTTAGCCCTCCATCGACCGAACTTCCCGGCATCACCATCGGCCGACGATCGGCATCCCTCCTCAAATCTATCCCCACCGCTCTCGCTCGCACGCACTCGCTCGCGTCGCCCGTCCCCGGATTCGGCGCGTTCGTCTTCACGTACGGCGCTTTCAAAAAATCAACCACCGCTCGCATCTCGCTCGCCTGCTCCGCTCGCATCGACGCCCCAATCTCCCCCCACATCGTCCGAAGATCGCTCTCGCGCACGTCCGGCCGCAGGGGCGCCGCGAGCGGGTTCGAGACCGCGAGTTCGTGCGCGAACGACGACGCGATCGTCATGACGAGCGTTTCAACGCAACGTCGTCTTCGCTCGCCGTAAACACGCTCGTGCGTCGTTACGGGCGTCGATGTGTTTAATGTAGCATGCGGTCGTGATTTTGCGCCGTCGCGGACGCCGTGGAGTCGACGCGTGAGTGAGTGAGGAACATATTGCTTGCAGATTTCAACAGACTGGGTGCCTCGTTCCTAAACATCCGCGGCGGCGCTCGCGCGGTCAAAATACGCCTCGAGATCGTCGACTCGGGTGAGACTTTCGCTCGGGATTTCGAGGGTACGAATGGCGTTGATGAATCGCCCGCTCGGTTTCCCCAGATGGAGCGCGCACGTGGCGAGATTGGCCAAAGTCTCGGGGTTCTTCGGATCCATCGCGACGGCTTCGGTGAGATCGCGCTCGGCGTCGTCGTACGATCCCATCATCATCGAGCACACGGCGGAGGCGTTGTACAGCTTGGGCGTCCACGCGTACTTGTCTCCAAGCTCTTGATAGATGTACGACGCGTCTTGAATCTTCTTCCCACCGCTCGCCAGAGATGCCCACGCGCTCGCGAGTTGCGCCACCGTGGAGTCGTCGTCCACCTGCTGCATCGCGCGCGCGTGCTTCTCCGCCAACTCCGGTCGGTCCATGGCGCATAAAACGCTCACCGCCACCGCCATAACCTCCAGATCACTCGAGCCGTGACACAACCGCAACGCCTCCGCGTATCGTCCCTCTCTCGCCAGCACCGTCGCGTTCGACGCCCTGGTCCACGCGTCCATCGTCCCGCTCGTCTCCTCCAACGACGCGAGCGCGTCTTCACACAGCGCATTTCTCCCACTCTCGTCCCCCGTTCGCACCGCGCGCTCGTACATCGCGAGAACTTTACACGATCGCGCTCCCGGTCCCGCGTTCGTCCCCATCGCCTCCACGCTCGCGATCACGTCGTCGATCTCCCCGAGCGCCAAGCGCGCGCGCAGGCGCAAGGATTCTCGTTTTTCACACTCCGCGGGCGAGAGATCACCGTCCACGTCGCACGCGCGCGCCGCGTCCACGGCGTCTCGATACGCACCGACGTGGTACATGTTCTCGCATCGAAACAAACTCTCCGAGGTCGCCATCGCGGATGCGCGGCGAGCGATCGGCCGACGCGCGATCTGCGGCGACGCCTCGCGCGCGTCCGCGGACGGTCGCGTCGCGAACGACGTGCGCAGACGGTGCGCGCGCGCGACGCGTCGGGAGTTTTCTCACGCGACGTCCGCGCGTCGTGCGCGTGACACTGCGACGCGCGCGCGCGCACGACGCATCGGTGGTTTTTTTAAAACAGTGGACGCGGTGGAGGTTTTTCGTCGTGCGTGTCCACGCGCGGGTGTCGCGTCGGACGCCGACGCGCGCGGACGATGGCGACGATCGAGGCGCGCGAACGGGGGCGAGCGGACGCGGCGTCGACGTCGGGGTCCACCGCGAGCGGTCGCGCGCGAGCGATTGATTTTTGTGTCTTTGTAGACAATGCGCACGGCGAGGCGTTCGAGCGAAGCGGTTTCGCCGAACGTTTGCGAAGCGATCCGGCGCTGGATTCCATGGCTCGACATCGGCAGGTGAAGAAGGAGATAAGTGAGGCCTACGGAGCGCTCGCGCAGTGCAGACGAGCGATGCGGGAGCGAGGGATCGACGTGCACGGGAGCGGGAGAGGGGTGACGTTCGTGGAGCTGTGCAGCGGTCGTGGGTTCGTGTCGCTCGTTCTCGTCGATGCGTTTCCGGAGAGTAAGGTGCGGATGATTGATAACGATACAAAGATGAATGTGAGTCACGTCGAGCGATTTTGTGATCCGGATCAGATGTCTTTTCACGTCATGGACGTGCGCTCGGAGGAGTGCGAAAAGTTTGTCGTCGACGCGTGCGAGAGCGAGGGCGCGGAATGCGTCGTTCTCGTGGGCGTGCATCTGTGTGGAGATCTTTCACATCGCGCGATAGAGATTTATGAGCGCGTTCCGGGCGTCGCGGCGTTGGTTTTATCGCCGTGCTGTCTGCCGCGCCGACGACGGCACGACGCGTTCGGATTTCATTGCAAAGACATCGCGCGCTCAATGTCCATGTCTCCGTATCAGTGTTGGACCACGCAGCTGTATCTGCGGATTCCTCAAGACGGCTCTAAGCGAGATATGATCGTCGACGACGACGTGCTGTCGCAGCAAAACGCCTTTTTGATCGCCCGAAGGCCTCTGAACGAGCCGTCGCTCGAGACGCTCTCGCTCTCTTCAAAGCTCGGCTGTCGCGTCGTCGCCGGTCGCTCGCGCGCCAAGTGGCGCGTCGTCCGCGACGCATGACATTCATTAGATTTTTAGATATTCTTTGTCTTCTTAGCTCTACCGGTTGTTCCCATCGCCCAGGACGTCTCTCGAACAAACTCCACGCGAGCTCACGTGGAATAACCACCGTTTGTCCACGTGGACGACCACACACCGAGGCTCGCGCCTCGCCCGCCCCTCGCCTCGCTCGCCCCGGAGCCGAGCGCGCGAACGAACGCGCTCGTTCGCACTCGTCGACCTCTCACCGCCAATGCTCGCCGTTGGATCGAGCGCGGGCGCGACGCGCGCGAGCGCCCGAGCGCCGACGTCCTCCGCTCGGTCGAACACTCGCCGCCAAGCGGTCGTTTGCGCCGCGCGTCGCTCGACGAAGACGTCGGCGGTGACGTTTGGGACGACTCGGGATGAAGTGCGCGCGAGCGACGACGCGAGCGAGAGCGCGCGTGCGAGGATGAGACTCGAGTGAATTTAAAAAGGCAAACGACCGGTTGGGGTCATCGCATTTTGGCGAGCGACTCGCGAACGACAGAGGGAGAGCGAACGTGATTTGAGATGACTGACGGAACAACGTGATTTTTTGCAACGATCAGGGTGCAATCGGACGACGACGATGCGTGCAGCGAACGACTGCAGCGGTTTGGAAGCCGGCGGCGCGCGCGCGCGTGGTGGCAGCGGCCGGGAAGCTGTCGGAGATGGACGTGAAGACGAAGACGGCCGTGTACTTCTTCCTGTGGTACTTTTTTAATATCGTCTTTAACGTGTACAACAAATCCACGCTGAACGTGTTTCCGTATCCGTGGTTGATCTCCACCCTGCAGCTCGCCGCGACAAGCCTATGGATGCTGACGGTGTGGGCTACGAAGATTCAACCGAAGCCGGAGGTAACCAAGGCATTCCTGTTGGCTGTCGCCCCGGTCGCCTTCTTTCACACCGTCGGTCACGTCTCTGCGTGCGTGAGTTTCAGCAAGATGGCAGTGTCTTTCACGCACGTCATCAAGGCTGCAGAACCGGTTTTCTCCGTGATTCTCTCTGGGCCGTTGCTTGGTCAAACGTTCGCTCCAGCGGTGTGGGCTTCTCTTATCCCCATCGTCGCTGGTTGCTCTATGGCGGCGATGAAAGAAGTTAGTTTCAACATCACAGGCTTCCAAGGTGCTATGATCAGCAATGTTGCCATGGTTTTGCGCAACATCACGTCAAAGAAGTCTTTGAATGACTTCAAGGCGATTGACGGCATCAACTTGTACGGTATTTTGGGCATTATCGGCCTCTTCTACCTCGCTCCCGCGGCTTATATGATTGAGGGCGCTCAGTGGTCTGCTGGTTACGCCGCTGCCATCGCCAAGGTTGGCGAGCAAAAGCTTTGGCAGATGCTCTTCTTGTCGGGTATCTTCTACCACTTGTACAACCAGGTCAGCTACCAAGCGCTCACGAACATCACCCCGGTCACGTTCAGTGTCGGCAACGCTCTGAAGCGCGTAGCCGTCATCGTCGCTTCCGTTATTTACTTCAGAAATCCGGTGTCGCCTTTGAATGCGGCGGGCTCTGCACTGGCTCTTGTCGGCGCATACCTGTACACCAAGGCGTCCGAGAAGAAGTAAACGAGATCAAGCGCAGCTTCGGCAATTTTGTTTCGCAACTTTCTAATACAAAGATCTAGACAATACAAGACTAGTTTCGATTTGATCCTATGAGCTACGTGGGCTAGAATGGTTCATCCAAGACTCGAGCATCTTCGTGGAAACGCAAGAGACTGGCTCGCAACGTCTCTTCTGGCAAATAGTTCGCCAGTTGCATGAATATTTCGGTCTTTCCTTCACAAAGCTCGTACGCTCGAGCGTAAAATGTCTTCACTGGAACGTGCCCTAACTGAAAATCTCTCGCCGCAGTTCGGAGCTCCATATACGTGCGTTCTCCAATCTTGTGAATCACTTCGAGAGCCAGTTTCGCGCTCGTCTCGGGCGCTTTCCCTTTGAGCGGTCCAGCCCCACGTTTAGATACCCGACGATCGTTCGAATCCAGACTCTCCTGCTTTTCAAAGAACTTACGAATGAGCTGAGAGACTTCTCCGTTTCCAGTGACGAGTTCGTTGTGTGATTTGGTTGCCTCAGTGCTTGCTTTCGTTTGATCAGACTTTTCGCTCGACTCGTTGCTGGCTGTCTCGCGCCCCGTCGATTCCGTTACCTGACCGGCCCCATTTCGACTGTTGATGGTTCGCCTTCTACCCCACGCGATGATAGAAAACCGAGGGTCATTGTTTGACTTCGCCTTGGGCACGCCGTGCTTGAAGCGCTTGTTCACCTCGGAAGTGAACGCGAAGACGTCGCCATTATTTTGTGGAAACGTGAACGTGTTACCGCTAGGCTCGTGTAAGAAGATCAATTCGCGCGATCCGCCGAACGATGCCCCCATGGTGAAATCTTCTCGCTGCGCGCGCCCCCCGTAGGCATGGCTGTCGTGATGAAACGGCTTCCAATCAGTGCCGTCGCGGTAAAAGTTCATCCTCGTCGCATACACCTCGACGTCGAAATAATCCGCCATCTCTTTCACGACCCTGTGAAAGGTCTCCGAAAACTCTGGATTTTCGTGCTTGAGATGTTTACTCCAGTTCACCATCCCTCCGCTCTCCGCCTGCGCGCGAAGGCGAGTCTCGTCAGTCCCGAGCGCCGAGTCGTCCGCGCGTCCACACGCACCGCTCGCTCCATCTCCGCCGCTAAGCTCGCCAGGACGGCGTAATCCTTGGATCCGCAGTGAAAGCTCGGCAGATAGATCGCGTTTCCCGAGAGCACGGCTTCGAAATCCGCCAACAGTCGTCCGTCCACCATGGCGCTTTCGCTCCTGAGCGCTTTATTCGCGAATCGCAGCGCGTCGTTCTTCGTCCTCTGATCCGCCCCCTCCTCGCCCTCGCCTCGACGAACGAATCGAGGCCTCGCCTCGCGCGCCATCGTCGCCCCCGTCGTCGTCGTCCTCGGGCGTCCTCCACCGAGGTCTCGCGCGGGGTGGTGCCTCGTCCGTCTAAACCCTGGCGAGGTGTGAAAATGTCCCGAGCGCGCGTCCGAACGAGGCGCGAACGGGGCGAGGCGAGGCGCGAGGCGGCGACGCGGCGCGCGCGCCGCGCCGATCGAACGCGACGACGCGTAGGTGCGGACGCCGAAGAGATGACGGAACGGGCGAAGACGCCGCTCGAGGCGACGATCGAGCGATACCACGAGGCGAAGCGAAAGGTGGCGGAGGGCGTGCTCAAGGCGAAAGAAATCGGCGCCCAAGAGCTGGCAAAGGCGCAGAACGCGGTGAAGAACGCGCCGGCGCCGGTGATGATGCAGAAGTTTGTCGATGGGACCGGATTCGTCGATCGAGAGGCGTATCCGGTGTTCGTCGAGCGCATGGCGGTGGGATCGGTGATCTTCTCGAAGAGTTACTGGGGCGACGCATGGTTGTACCTGAAGAATAATCACTTGCTGCTCGCGGTGTTCTTGGCGCATCCCAAGCATCCGTTTTCGAGAATGGAGAGATTGATTTGCTTATTTTGCTCGTTCTTGGTTGGTTTCGGGTTGACATGTTTGTTCAACTTGATCACGAAGGAGCCTACGAAGACAGTCGTGAGCGTTCTCGTCGGAGGTTTGATTCAAGGCATTTACGACGCCCTGCTCCGATTATTCGCAGAGTGTCTGTGCGTGCAGTCGTGTCCTTCTTGTATCGTTCGCTGTTTCGAGGCGTGCGGTAAAATCGGGATGTTGGTGCAATTCTTTTTAGGTTGTATGGTCCTGGTGATTGGCATTGTCGCCTTCCTCAGAGCCGAGCAACGGGAGACACTGATCGGAGTAACCTGGCGCTTCGCGCTCTCGAAGGCTGCGTCGTGGATCGTCGCGTCTCTGTTATTTTGTTTGATCGGATATCACTTCGCGCGACGAAGCCAGATGCGCCCGGGCTCTTCACGTCGCACGTTCAGTGAGAAGGAAGAGCACGACCGCTGGAACACCGCTGAAGCTCACTGGTGCTGCTGCTTCTCGTGCCTGATGCCCCGTCGCGCACCGAGTTACTTTTGGAACTATTATATCGGTGAAGACGTCACTTTTGACGAGCTTCCGGATCGCCCACCCAAGTATAAGGCGAAATGTTTCTGCGGCGCCTCGGAGCCTGCGCCGACGACGTCGACCAGTCGTCCGACGGGAACCCGTTTCGGGCAGCCTTAATTAATCTCATCGCCATCACGGCGTTGGAAATTCACTAGTTCATTAGTATCATCTCGCACTTCACATCGGGATGCTGTAACACTCGTAGGTAGCTTTTAGTGATGCCGCCGCCCGCTTCGGGACGGCTGCTTCCATCCCAACCGACTGAAAACCGTTACGACAGATCCATGCGCGCGCGCTTCCGTCTCGACATCGCGCCGCGATCGATGCGGACGACAGTGGGTGATAGAAGCTCGGCGCGCGCGCCAAATGCGACTCGAACGCTCGCCGAACGCGTCTGTCGACCCGCGCACTCGTCAGCACCAACGAAAACGACTTCTCGACGCTCTTGCTCGAGTGTGCGCTCTAGGTCGCTCGGCACGATCGTGGGAAACATCGTGATCGGTGGCATCGTCATTGCCGGCTACATGAGTTCGGGTGAGACCTACCTGCAGCGACGACGAGAAGGCTGGTTGACGCCGGAGGAGGGCGGCGACGAGGACGGCGAGGACGCGGATGACGTCGCGCTGCGATGGAACGTGGCGAGCATTGTCGCGTGTATTCCGCTCTTGGCACCGCTCGCGTGGATACTACCAGAGATATCCGTCGGGTCGTGGGATGGAGATGAGCGTCGAGGAGCGATTGAGAAGAACGACGCGTACGCATTTGCGGTGGCGTACTGGGTCGCGTTTGGGTTGCACAACTTTGATATCACGGACCCCTTTATCTGGGGAACGACGTTGCTCTGCGCCGCGCACATCCAGCTAGAGAAGACGAATACTTTACTCGTCAATCCATACGGTCCAGCGGGGGCGCGGTCGCCAGATGACGAAGACGCCCTATCCGCGATTTCCAAGAAGTTAGAAGCCGTGACCAAGTCCACAGCGGGAAAAGCCGAACCGGCGAAGAACTCCGTTGAAGCCGCGGCGAAGATTGGACGAGCGATTGGAAAGGCTGGTGTTGTCGCGAAAGCTCTCGGCGAGGGTATATCCGAGGGGAAAGTTGAAGCCGAGATACAACGAGAGTCACTCGTGATGTCGGAGGAGTTGACACGTCAGGCGGAGGCTCTCACGGAGGAGCTCGGAGAGTGGGACGGTCGCCTCGAAGGCTCAAAAGGGTTAACAGAAGACTGATACATTGTATTTCTACCACTGCGTACGATGCCGTGCAATCATTGCACTGCGTTGCTCATGTTTCGAGTTGTACCGGTAACCGTAATGGAAACGTACTACCGGTAGTCAAAAGTAAAGTACATACATTTACATAGGGAAACGAGGAGCTCTCCGACGATCCTCGCGGAGATCATTCCCTCCATCCGCTCCACAGCGGGATGTCCCACTTGACGCACGAGTGATCCGCGCCCTCGCGCGACATTGCGGCGTTGCAAGATGACTCGCTCGACATCCCGATTACGTACTTCGGCCGCTCAATCTTCCCGCTCTGCACCGCTTCATTCATCATCCGTATCACCGTCAACCCCGTGTGTGGTGGCATATAGTAATCCAACAATAGCACGTCCGGTTTATACGCACCGATAATCTCCACGCACGCGTCGCTCGTCCATCGCTGCTCCACGCGAACCGTCGACGCGTCCACGCCGCCTCGCTCTAAGATCTCCGCCACGTCGTACACGTCCTCGAACGCGAGCACGCGAACGCACGGTTTCGACGATACCTTTCCCTCAACCCCCGCCGCCGTCCCATTCGTCCTCGCCGTCGTGCCGTCCTCCATCGTCGACGATCCCGAATTCGTCGCCCCCGGCATCGTCCCGCGCGTCCGCCCGCGCGCCCTTCGCCCCGCGCGCTCGACCCCCGTCCCCGCGCGCGCACGTCCGAGGCGCGCCATCGCGCGCATCTCCCGACGATCGCCCGTGACGCCGTGCGCGCCCACCCCCGACGCGGTGTCGCGCGCGATCGACCGTCGTCGTGACGACGCGGCGACCGACCGAGTCAGTCCATCACCCGCGCGTCCGTCGCGCGTGCGCGACATGGACGCGCGCCACGACGGGCGCGAACGACGGACGATGGGGGCGTCGCCGCGGGCGAAGCGACCGAGCGCGCGCGAGCTCGAGCGACGACGACGGACGCGGACGCTCGCGCGATGGCTCGCGCTCGCCCTCCTAGGCATCGTGACGGTGCTCTTGAAGACGACGTATCCTGGCGATCGAACGATCCGGACGGCGAGCGAATCCTGGGCGCGGTTGATGTTCTCCCGGCGAGGGTTCTCGTTTGGTCGACTGTACGAACGGTCGTACGCGCGGACGGTGCGGATAGACGCGAAGGAGGGGTCGATCGAGACGACGCGACGCGCGCACGTGGTGCAGGGAACGATTGCGAATCGACCGCGGTGGACGAAGGATTTGAGGCTTCAAGACGTCGTGAACGAGGAGAAAATGGAGGGGAGGAGAAAGAAGTGTTTCTTCTACGTCGAATATAACGAGCCGGTGCTCGTTTTATACGATGACGGGGAGGAGTTGAGGCATCACTTGGAGTTGGACACGAACGGTTTGGACGTCGGACAGTTTCGGTGCACGTTCTTCAAGGGCGTGCGCAAGCCGTCCGATGGGAAGACTTACGATAAGGCGGGGTGGGATATCATCGACGAGCCCGAGTCCGGGGGGAAAGTGGCCATGATGAGCACGGCGACGACGTTAGGGATGCTCTCGGCGTATCATCGGACGCTGGTGAACCATCAGGCGTACGCCGAGCACCACGGATACGGCTCCATCCTCGCGCTCGTTTCGCCCAATAAGTTGGAGGGTAGATCCGCGAAGTTCGCCAAGCACCTGTCGATGGGCACGGAGGTGCTAAGGGGAGAATACGCCATGGTTTGCCACACCGATCTCGACGCTTGGTTCGCCAGTTGGGATCCGCTCAGTCGCTATTCCAAGGACTGGCCGGAGAAGAAGAGTTTGTTCTTTGGTGACACCGGCCAGGTTTGGCTCAACTCGGGATTGATTTGCGCTCGATCAAACGAGTGGACGGTGTCGCTGTTTGAGCGAACGATCAACGCCGTTTACCAGACGGAGCCGGACCCGGAAACGGGAAAAATAGTGAACCTCGGGTTCAAGCGAGACCAGCCCGCGTTGTGGCACGTTCTCGGCCTCGAGTGGGCAAACAACGAGCTTGTACCTTACAAAGGTCAGTCCTGTTCGATGTGGTCAGAGTGTAACCCGGATAGCAATCCCATAGAGTGCTGGCACTGGTGTTTCTGGGACGCCCTGCAGAGAACGCCTTCTGGCTGGAGAGGTTTGCACGACGTGAATAAGTTTGCGCACGTGTTTCTCGATCCACTCAACAATAAACCTCAAATGCATAGAATGTGTCTCTCGAGCTGCTACAGCGTTCTGAGTCGTGCGCAAATGGAGATTTGTTCTTCTCTCACCGGTTGGTCGCGCTGCTTGCCGAGAGACGTGGACAAGATGTCTCTTTGCAACGGAGAGGGCTGCCTGAAGCAGCTCACATCACATGGTGGCGCGTGGCTCAAACACACCGGTCACCAACATTGGCTCGACAAACTTCCCACGTGCATCCCGCGTAGCATGGAGGAGGCACAAAAGGAGAAGCGCTCGACGCTCAGCTTGTGCGATAAATCTAGAATGTAGGTAGGGGTACGGTAGTGTTGTGTGTAGTGAGAATGTTTCTCGATTCAATTCTACGTGCTACCTCTAAACGACGGTCTTCGTGTGAGCTCCCACGTTGCCTCTCCCGTCATCGCTGACTTCGTTCGTAACGAGCGGAACTTCATCGTCGTCGTCGTCGTCGTCGTCTTCGATCGGACTTCCAAACACATCGAGCTCAGCGTCGTCATCTTGCTCAGATGGATCCCAGTCGGGGCCGACTTTCTTGCGCATCGTCTCCTGCGCCAACACCGCGAGCTTATAACTAACGAACAGAGTCATGATCAGACCTACGACGTAGAAGATAATCTCAAGCGCGGTCGCCCCGTCGGCGCCGCTCGCGCGCCGACCGGTATCCCCGACGTACACGTACACAAAGCTCGACGGGAACAACCCGACAAAAGTCGCCACCACGTACGACAAGAAGGGCACCGACGTCAATCCCAACACGTAACTCGCCACAGTGAACGGCGAGAACGGGGAAAGCCGCACTAGTATGACAATCTGAGGACCATCCTTCGTCACCGCCTCGTCCAAAGCCTTGAACCGCCCTCCGTCTCGCACGAACGTCCTCTCCACCCACGGTCGAGCAAAGTACCTCGACAACGTGAAGCTCACCACCGCGCCGACGCTCGCGCTCGACACGCACAGCGCCACCCCACCCAACGTACCGAACAGAATCCCAGCCGCAACGCACGTCGCGCTCGCCGCGCCCGGAATCACCCCGAACGTCGCCACCGCGACGTTGAGCGCGAAGAATTTCATTGGATTCCGCACGTGCGGCACGACGTCCTCGTACAGGTCGATCTCCAACCGCGTCGACGCGTACACCAGCGCGGCGACGCACGCGAGGGCGAGAACGAAGATCATCATCGCCCGCACCGCTCCCACGATGGTCCATTCCCCCCACGCGCGCGTCGTCGTCGTCCCGTCGCTCCCACCACCTCCACCGCGTCCGCGTCCGCCCCAACGCCCGTCCTCCGCGTCCCCACCCGCGCGCCCGTCCGCGCCGTCGTCTCCGAGCAGGACCGCGCGCCGATGGGTCGTTCGCGCCCGCGTCGGTGCGCGCGCGTCCATCGCGCGCGCGTCTGCGGTCCGCGTCGCGCGTCGAGGCGGGTTCAAACGGCACACGCGCGCGCGACGACCCTCGACCGCGTCGACGATCGACCGTCGCGCGCGTCCGAGGGCGAGGGATCGAGGGCGATTGATGCGCGCGCGGGACGGGGGCGGAGCCGCGCGCGCGGCGTCGAGGACGAGAGCGCACGCGCGAGGGCGCGGTGGAACGATGCTCGGTGGGGTGGTGCGACGAGGGGCGAGACGAGGGGCGGTCGGAGAGGCGATGCGAGCGACGCGGGGGATGGTGATGACGATGATGACGACGACGACGGCTGGGGGGGGCGCGGGGACGGAGGGAGGCGCGAACGTGAGTGGATGGACGCGCGCGCGGCGGGTCGAGCGGGCGAACGCGAGAGGAGACGTAAGAGCGCGGGCGGTGAGCTCGAGCGCGGCGTCGGCGGGACGTGAGAGCGGCGAGTACGACGCCGGATCGATTCAGGTGCTTCAAGGACTCGAACCCGTTCGTAAGCGGCCGGGGATGTACATCGGGAGCACGTCTACGAAAGGTTTGCATCATCTGGTGTGGGAAGTACTGGACAACTCCGTGGACGAAGTCCAGGCGGGGCACGCGAGTCACGTTCAGGTGACCGTGGATGATGATGGATTCGTCACCGTTATGGACGACGGTCGCGGGATCCCAACGGACGTCCATCCGGTCACCGGTAAGAGCTCGTTGGAGACTGTGCTGACAATTTTGCACGCGGGTGGCAAATTCGGGGGCGATAGCAGCGGCTATCACGTCTCCGGTGGCCTTCACGGCGTCGGTATCTCCGTCGTGAACGCTCTGTCCGAGCTTGTTGAGGTCACGGTGTGGCGTAACGGGAACGAATACACTCAGAGCTTTTCGAGAGGCATTGCCACAGGAAACATGAAAGAAAAACAACAGGACGGCTCTGGGAACAAGAAGGGGACGATGGTACGCTTCAAGCCCGACGACCAAATCTTCGACAAAGTTAAGTTCGATAACAATATCATACGAACGAGAATGAAAGAGTTGGCCTTCCTGAACAAGGGCACGGAGCTTCACCTGAAAACATTCAATACCAAGACCAAGTCTTACGTCGAGGAGAAACTGGTCTACGCTGAAGGTTTGAAGGACTACGTGTTAGATCTCACGGCGGACGCGACGCGCTTACACGAACCCATTACTTTTTCGGGAGAGATGGAGGGCATACGCGTCGAAGGGTCGCTGTGCTGGACTGCTGACTCCTACTCCGACACTCTGTTGGGTTACGCAAACAGCATTCGAACGATCGATGGTGGTACTCACATCGATGGTCTGAAGTACTCTCTCACGAAAACGATAAATAACGCTAGTCGCAAGGCGAAGTTACTGAAAGATGCAGATTCTAATCTGGGTGGCGATCATGTCCGCGAGGGCTTGTCGGGTGTCATTGCCGTTTGGGTGCCAGAGCCGGAGTTTGAGGGTCAAACAAAGACGCGTCTTGGCAATAGCGAGGTTCGTCGGATAGTTGAGAACATTGCGAGCGATGCCGTCATGGGGCACTTCGAGTTCAATAGCGCCGACTTAAAGGCTGTTTTTGCGAAGGCACAGTCTGCTTTCAAAGCTGCTGAGGCTGCAAAGCGTGCGAGAGAGCTTGTTCGACGCAAAACTGTACTGACTGCCAATCGATTGCCGGGCAAACTGTCTGATTGCTCGTCCTCTGACGCGGATCGCACCGAAATCTTTTTGGTTGAGGGTGACTCAGCGGGTGGTAGCTGCAAGCAGGGTCGCGATCGATCTTTCCAGGCCGTATTACCGCTGCGCGGTAAGATCATGAACGTCGAGCGCAAGCTCGATGCCGCGGCGCTTTACAAGAATACTGAAATCACCAATATGATTTCTGCCTTGGGTCTCGGTACTATGGGCGAAGATCTGGACACCAGCGCGCTTCGGTACTCCAAGATTATCATATTGACTGATGCCGACGTCGATGGTGCACACATCCGTACACTGCTGTTGACGTTTTTGTACCGTTATCAGCGGGACTTATTTGAAAAGGGCTTCGTATACGCCGCTGTTCCGCCTCTTTATAAGGTTGCCGTCGGAAAGAAGGAAACGTACTGCTACGACGACGACGATCTCCAGCGCGTGCTTGCTGCTTTGCCAGAGGGGGCGAACAAGCATATTCAGCGCTTCAAAGGTCTTGGTGAAATGATGCCGGAGCAACTTTGGTCGACGACGTTGGATCCGAAAACTCGCCTCTTGAAGCGTTTAACTGTAGACGACGCTTCAGCGGCTAATCACATGTTCTCCACTCTCATGTCGAAGGAAGTCGATCCGAGAAGGAGGCTCATTGAAGAGGAAGGGGCTGCGCTCGCCTCGATAGACTTTTAGAATTCTGGTGTACTTTTATATCACAGAGACGTTCTAATACTTCGCTTCAACGCACGTGAGGCCACAAGCCGTCTTGTGCGAATCACATGCGATCAAAAACACTAGATTCTAGCGCACCTTGGTGTCCATTGAGAAGTGCGCTGACGCGCTCGGCAATTTTTGGGCTTGGTCGTAACCTCGAAGGACTTCGCGCCGTTGTTGGCGTGACAGATTTCCAATCCTCTCTTGGCTTCAATCTATCGATGGTGATGTCGCTCAACGCATCAAGAAGCTGCCCTTTCAATTTCATCATTTCTGAGTGCATGTCGTTTACTTTGTCTGTCAGAGCATGTAACTCTCGCGCGATCTCGATGACGTCCTTTGACGCGAGCGACTTGCGGGACGGTTCAAATTTCTCGCGGAGAACCATGAGGTTCCCAGGGGTACGGATGATATCGTTACTAGTATCTGATCCACGGGCATGCTCTTTGGAAGAATCGTGCGAGGCCATCGCGTGTAATTGTGTCGCTTCCATGTGATAAACAACCATCTACTTGAATATTTCGAGTTCCCGAGGTGCACAGGTTGCCCTCCACCAAACTCCAAGCGCACCTCAGAAGCGCACGTCCCAACACTCTCCTCCGTCAACTTTCTTCCAAGTCAACCAACCTACTCTGATTCACCAGCTCCATCTTTCCTGAATCTCAAAGCTTCGCCCTTCAATCGCTCGAGCTGCTGCCGCTGATCGGGCGAGAGCGCCTCGACGACCTCTTCGTCCAAGTCTCCAGACACAGAGGCGATCGTGTCCCCTCGCAGGGAATCGACGTACTGCTGCCAAGACGAAACAAACTGACCCCACTGCGCCTCTGTCATCTTCTCGCTTCTCAGATGCGCCCTAAATTCCTCTCTCGCGTACGTCGCGCCGAGCTCCTTCATCGGCGACGGCATCGCTTGATGCGTGCGCAAGATCTGGCGGTACAGAGAGAAAACCCTCCCCAATCCGCTCATCGTCCTCGCGCGCTCGTGACGTACCCGTCGTCACCTCTCTATTTCTCTCTTCCAACCTTCGCGCTCGCCCTCGTAATCGCTCGACCGCCTCTCCGGTCGCGCCGACTCGATCGCGCCCTCGCCCCCTCCGCCGCGCTCACTCCGCCTGCAACCCCCCGGCGCTCGGTTGCGCCAAAACCCCGAGCTGTTCCTTCTCCAGTTCGATCAACTGTTCCTCCCTGTGCAATTGCACGATGAGCGGCACGACGAGCACGAGAAACGTCGTCCCGAACGTCCACGCCGCCTTCCCCGTGTGCGCCACCAATCGCCCCAGCGCCCGCGTCGCGTCTTCCGCGCCAAAGCTCACCGGTCTCGCGCTCTTCGCCTCCACCGCGTCGTGATTCGGGGTGATCTCCATCGCCCGTCCCCTCCGTTCGCGCTCGTCGCGCACGCGTTCGATCGACCGTCGCGTCGTCGCCCGATGGCGCCGACGTCGACGATCGCGCGATCGCCCGCACCCGCGCGTCCGGCGACCGACCGACCGCTGGGCGGATGACCATCGAGCCCTCGGGGTCGGGGTCGGGGGCGCGAGCCAGGGTCCGGGGCGATGGAGGTTTTTATGTCACGCACACGGCGTGTACAGGTGTCAATGTATGGGTGATCACACCCGTGATCCCGAGCCCTCGGGCGGGCGACCGCGCGCGGGCGTGGCTAAATCCCACGGTGAAGTAACTTTTTATCAATTGACCAACGTATAATGTATTGAATTTATAAACTATCAAACAGCGATAAATCTGTCGAAAATCCATTCACATACGACCAATCAGGACTCACATCTGTGAGAGGGGGGGGGTGGCTAAATGGATTTTGACTAATCTCGGTCATGGTTGTGCACACCTTTTCTTGAGTGAGAATTTTAGCAATCTCCCTTTCAGCCTAAAGGGAGATTGCTAAAATTCTACTAACGTTAGTATAATTTTGATACTTCATAATCGGTCACGTCATGTATGGGTAAACAGTATGAGGGGGGTACTCCAACTTGTGTTTCACCTTGTACACATTTCGGCAAGTTTTCGCAACACACGACACGTGTGCGCGGATAACGCGCCGACGAGGCAGGGAGGACGCGCGCATGCTTCGCCACACGTAGTATCCATCACACACTATCGGATCACTGACGTTCTCACGAGAAGAAATCGCGCAGTCGAATGTAGAAGGCAGAACAACCTCACTCTGACAGAGCCGTGAGGAGACACCTTGAATCCTGCCCAAACCCTAGATAAACCCTAACCAAACCCTAGTTAGGGTTGATGACACATGCACAGCACGTGCAATACGCGCTGACACCACAGTTAAGTGGATACGATGAACAACACAAGGCGTTAAAAGTCCTTTCCGAAGCCCGTAACGCGGATGAAAGCGACACGTCGAGCGCTTGTGCGCGTAGAACACTCGCGAGAAATAGACACCTAAACCCTATGTAGGGTTTAGGTAGGGTTTAGGTAGGGTTTAGGCGTGGTTTCTTGAGAGTTCGGCGTGGAGTACCCGAGCGCGAGGAACTGCGTGAGGACGTCGCTATGTCCGTCGTATGCCACAGAAACTGGATGAATCTGATGTAACATGCATGTATCTACAACTGTTCATCGCTGCGCGCGTCCTCCCTGCCTCGTCGTCGCGTTATCCGCGCACACGTGTCGCGTGTTGCGAAAACTTGCCGAAATTTGTACAAGGTAAAACACAATGGCTGTACCCTAGGACCTCATACTGTTTGCACATATACAAGTTTTAGAATGACAATTTCAATAGTTTAACGCGAGAACGCTCATTCGCTGAATTGGAAAATCATCCACCCAAGATCCGGCGGAACCGTTCAGAGGGATACTGGCTTGAATAGATAGTGTACTATGCAATTGTATTAAAATGTATTTTTATATATGTGGATAGTCTTTACTAGATATTAAATACGACATATGTGAATGATAAAAAGTTACTTCACCGTGGGATTTAGCCACGCCCCCGCGCGCGGAGGGTGGTGCGGCGACGCGCGCGGACGTCGAGGACGTCTCTTGCGGCACGCGCGAACGTCGAGTCGCGCGTCGCGAGTGAGCGATCGGTGCGAAGCGAACGCATCGCGCGCATCTTTTACGCACGAACCCGAACGGTGGACGCGCGGCGCGGCGCGGCGTCGCTTTCGTTCGGCGTCCACCGAGTCGGATTGAGCGCGCCCGAGCGTTCGATCGGCCGAGCGTCGATTCGACGAGCGTCGACGGGACGCGCGATCGTCCCGTGACGGTGAGGGTTATTTCCTCGATTCAGGTCGTTCGTTCGACCGAGACGGAGCGATGAGCACGATGTCGGCCAACCCGTTCGGGGCGCTCGACGAAGACGGCCCGCGCGCGCCCGCTGCCAAGCCGGCGGCGGCGGCGGCGGCGGCGACCAAGGCGCCCACGAGCGCGCCCAAGGGTGCGTACGCGAAGTAACCGACGCTTGAATCGATGCGTGCGCTCGAGGGACGCGATCGCGATCGCGCTCGACGACGACGCGGAAGAGCTCGAGGGTTAACCCCAATCGAGGTCTTGAGCAACAGTCGGTGAAGAACGAAGACTGACGAGCCGTTTCGATCTCTCGAAATCGCAGCTTCCGCGCCAAAAACGAACAAGCAAAAGGCACCGAAGGCTGTTCGCGAATTCGAAGGCGAAGTCGTCGGCGCCGAAGGCGGAAAGGCTTTCCACGCCAAGGGCGGTCGAGGCGATCATAAAGGTCACTCCCGCTCCACTCGACGCCCCGGTCGTGGCGAAGGTGGCGAAGGCCGCCAACGCTCTCGACGCGACTTCGACCGCCGCGATGCCTCCGGCCGCGGCCACGATGGCCACCGCGGTGGCGCCGGCAAGGGCAACTGGGGCAAGGCGGGCGAAGAACTCGCCGAGCTTGACGGTGCCGCGGCCGTCGACTCCGAAACGGAACCCGTTGAAGTCGAGGAGGATACGTCCGTGCTCACCCTCGCTCAAGCCGAAGCTCTCAAGGCCGAAAAGCGCGCCGCGCTCGCGGCCCAATGGAAGAAGCCCGAGGCGAAGGTTCTCGATGGCTCAGCCCTCGCTGGCATGAAACTCGTCGGTGAAGGCGAAGACGACGACAACCTCGACTTTGGCGGCGTCGGCATCAAGGGCAAGCGTGAACGCAGCAAGACCAACACCAAGCAACAAGTTGCCGTCGGTTTCCGCGTTGCTCCGTCGCAACCTGCCGAGCGAGATGACCGTGATGATCGCCGTGGCGGCGGCCGAGGCGGCCGAGGCGGCCGAGGCGGCCGAGGCGGCCGCGACACCGGCCGCGGTGGCCGCGACTCCGGCCGCGGTGGCCGCGGTGGCCGTGACTCTGGTCGCGGTGGCCGCGGCAGCGGTGGTGGCGGACGTGGTGCCAACATCAAAATCGAAGATGCATCCGCCTTCCCCACGCTCGGTGGCAAGTAAAGTGCCATACGAGACACTGCAAACTCTGCTGTACGCAACGTGCACTCGAGTTGCCTGAGTTTGGATATGAGACCACGCGCACGCGATACTTTTGAGCGCAGCACTCGTGTACATTTCATTTTCAATATTCATAGTCGCTTCAAAAACCATTTGTCGTCAACTCGCCACAACACAACTTCTACCTCACTTCTCGCCCGCACGAGTGTTGACCTGATCGAGTCGGTACCCCGGATACGTCTCTTATAAACAAATGAGACAGGATTTTAGTGAGTTCGCAAGGTTAGACGTGCGTTTCACTCCTCATGACAGTCGATGGGTCCCGAAGAGCGCACGTTTCGTTGTTCTAGGTGAGACTGCAAAGTCAACAGGTGTGCTCAGCGCTTTCAAGTTGAGTGGGAGTGGTGTCCGGAAACTGGTTGAGATCGAGCGACAGAGTGGGTTCAAATGCTGTACATTTGGGTCTCACACGCTTCCAGAGCGCTTGCTCGTCGCTGGTACTCTCAATGGTGAGCTCGAAAGTTGGGACCTTGAGCAACCGTCAACGCCGCTCACCGTTGTAAGAGCGCACGAGTCTACCGTCAACGCCGTTGACGGCGCCGGAGGTGGTGTCCATGGCGTTGGTCCGTTAGAAATAGTCACAGGTGGACGTGATGGAACTGTCAAGGTGTGGGACTCAAGGCAAGAGAACTCGGTGGCAACGTTTCGTCCACGTTCAGCGTCGTGCGAGTGTTGGTCGGTTGCGTTTGGAAATGCCTTCGACGAAAGCGAGCGGTGCGTTCTGGCTGGTTACGAAAATGGGGACATCAAAATGTATGACTTAAGACACGGAACCATCAGATTCGAAACGAACGTCGCAAACGGCGTTTGCGATGTTGAATTTGACAGGAAGGATATTTCAATGAACAAGTTCATCGCTGCGTGCCTAGAGAGCCAGTTTG